CACCACGGGAACAGAGTGGCTGTACCCACTCTGCAGCCATGGGAGGGTGCAGGGAGGCTGAGCGCCTGACAGCTACCCCAGAATCTCCTGGCAGGGTCTGAGGAGGAGCCACATTCCAGGGAGAGTGGTAGCAGACCCTCAGATGGAGATGGGTGCTGGGAGACCATGACCAGATGTGGGCTCTGACCACAGCCCCAGTTCTGCCACAGGTGGGAGGCAGCTGTGTGGAGGCCCAGCTGCAGAGACGCAGCCTGGACTGTCAAGGTGGGCCTCCTTCCCAGGCTAAGTTCTGAAGAGCAGGGGCTTTGGGGAGCCACCTCGTCTTGGAATCACACAGTGTGAGGTCACAGAGGCCACCAGTGAACAAAGAAGCGAGTCAGGGTCACGTGCAGGGACCAATCTGCACGGTGCGCACGGCATTGGCGGGGTCAGCCCGGCCTCCCTGTACCAGACCTGCACCCACCTTCGAAACCTAGGGCCAGGGTGAGCTCCGAGGTCTCCCCAGTGCTCTAGCCAGACAAGACACCGGGCTTCCTCCTACCCCAGCAGGTCAGACTCAGTCACACCACGGCCCCCAGGGAAAAGCACACCCCCGGGACCTGGGAGGAGGCTGGGTGCCGGTGCAGTGGGGGGAGGGCGGACCCCTCCATCCCAAGCGGCTGAGGGCGGTGGGTTAGTCAGAAAGCAGAGCCGCCTGGGGAAGTCGAGAGTGCATTGGTAAAACCACAGTGAGGCAGAAGAGGAATAAGAGGAGAGAAACCTTCCGGACAGATCATCCCCAACTTCATACTGACAGACACGGATGACCCGGCGGTACGCTATGCTAGTCAAAGAAAAGAAACCAGATGAATACACTGCAGGCAGGGCAGGCGCGAGCACACCGAGACAGACACGCCACGAGGCCAGCTGGCCGTGCACAGGCAGGGGCCAGCGGGGCCAGGCGGGCCCAGCGGCCCCTTGGCAGCTCCCGCGGACTGGGCGAGACGGGACAGGGACTGGGAGGAGCCGAGGTGAAGGGAGCAGGACAGCTTGGAGATGAGACCGAGAGCAGACAGAGCCATGGGTGGGGAGGAGAGTCCAGCAGCAGGTGTCCTGCGGGCTCGGGCCAGACACTGCCGACTCTGGGTCCTCCATGCCCTTATCGGCATGAGCACCTGAATGGTTCGGGCGGTTTCTCCACCACCTTTACATGCCTGCTTTACCTGTCGGCCAAACCTGGGAGCGCCAGCTGAAGCCGCTGTGCTCCCAGCCCTGGCCTTTAGAGCAGGTCTGGCAGGGGTCCTGCAGAGGGTGCCCTGCAGAGGGTGCCCTGCAGAGAAGGCCCTGCCAGGTCTGGGCATACAGCCCTGTCTCCAGCACGTCACAGGAGCAGGCATTCTGCCTTCCATGCAGGCAAACTGCTCTGGCTGCCCTCCCCCCAGGGGAGAGCAAGGGCGACCACAGCCCTGGGGTGGTGCCGGGGCAGCAGCTGCCACACAGCCCTTCCCCTCAGCTGCAGAGCCACTGCATCACCCCAGCAATGTCGTCCGGGCATCATGCCACTGGCCCGTTGGAGGCTAAATCTAGTCCCGTGGACACACTGGATAAAAGAGGCAAAAGGGAAGTCCAGGAGGGTCCCAGGGGCCGAGCAGGCACAGGGACTCTTAGAGGCTGGACTCTGGCTCGAACCCCCTGGCTCCATCACTCTCCCTATCCTAAGAGAACCCCTGGAATCTGAGAAGTGCAGAGTGGCTCCCCTCCGCCAGCCGTAGGCTCTGTCGGGGACGGTGGGCTGGGGGCAAGGCACACACTCCTGGCAGGGGCTGGGGTGAGGTGGGCAGGGGAGGTGCAGGCTGCCCCGGGCAGGATGGCCCGTCCTGGGTTCCTCTGCAAGCCAGGCCATGAGGGGGCGAGGGGCTGAGGGACAAGCATACGAGACACCACCACACCACGAGCCCGGAAAAAGAAGAAGACGATATTAACCCATCGAGGAGGTACGTTCTGTGGGGAGGAGGTCCAAGCAGCCACGAGACAAGACGGTGTCCGGACAGCAGCCATCAGGAGGCAGGGGACAGAGAGGACACAGAAAGAAAGAAAACCAAGTCATCACAACCCACTCTGCACTGAGCCCTGGGCTGTTGGTGGCCGAGGTGCTGCTCCCATCCACCTGGGGGGCACCCACCCCACCCAGCTCCAACTCAGCCCACCCCTCCCGCTGGCTCCCGTGAGGTGTGCTAACCCTTCCTCCTTCATTCCCAGCATGCCTCTGCTTTAAACAAAGCTCGCTTGAGCTGGAGACTGGGCAGGGGTGGGTAGGGATGGCGGTGGGAACAGACTAGCTCAGTGGGGATGTGCTGCTCCCTGGCCCTGCCTGCCCCGGCCCTGCGAGGGCTGGCACCTGGTCTCTTGGATCCACTGGTGGAAGGCATTGGCATGCTGGGCGAACTCCTGGCGCAGCTTGTCATTCTCCTCCTGCCGCCGCTGCTCCTTCTGCAGCTCCAGCTCCCTCTCCTAGGACAGGGGGCAGATGCTACGTGCTGCAGGGCTGGCAGCCCAGGCCCTCCACAGCTGGCTCTACCCAGGACCAGACCAGTGGGCCTCGGATCAGAGGGGAGCAGCAGTAATGTTCTAAGGCTGAATAGGTCAAGAGAGAGCCCCTGGGAACCAGCAGTTAGCGTAATGGCTATGTCGGCTGGATTCCCACATAGTCGACTGCGGTTCGCGTCCCGGACCCGGTGGCTTAAAAACTCACGCCGGGCGCGTGTGCGTGCGTGCCTAAGATCCCGAGAGGAGAATGGAGGAGAAGGGATTGTGGCGTGACCATCCCACCTGGGGGGGGTGATTTCTCGCTTTCTGGCTCTATGTCTCTCTCTTGTCTGGCGAGCACATGCGCCCTTATAGAGAAAACCTCTCCAAAAAAAACAAAAGAGAGAGAGAGAGAGAGCCCCTGAGGTGCTGAGGTACTGCTTTTGTATGTAGATACTTTTTTTTGGGAGAGGCTTTTGCTATAGGGCGCATGTGCTAGCCAGGGAGACAGAAAGTGAGAAATCACCCCCCAGGGGGGATGGCCATGCTGCAATCCCTTCTCCTCCATTCTCCTCTTGGGATCTTGGGCATGCATGCACACGTGCCTGGCGTGAGTTTTAAGCCACCAGGTCCGGGACGCAAACCGCGGTCGACTACGTGGGAGTCTAGCGACATAGCCATTACGCTAACTGCTCGTTCCCGTGTAGATGCTTTTTAATAGCCCTGCTAGATAGAGTAACTTATGGAAGCGTATATTTGCATGTGTCTTTAGGGCACATGTTTTAATCACTGTTTTAAATTGGCTGCTCTCCACACTGAGGGGTTTGGGAAACCTGGGCTGTTAACCTTGCCCAAAGATGATCAGGGAAGGCGTCTGGGAGACGCCAGTCATCTCCAAATGCTTCACTGTCCTCAGCTCACAATCCCCAAGGACTCTGGCTGGTGGGGAGGAGTGAGTGGTCACAGTAGAGCAGTGAGCTTCTGGACTGACACTGGGGCAACTTCCAGAACACTAAGCCACACTGCTTCCTCCTCCTCCTGAGCCTCACTGCCCCAGCTGGAACAGGGTCTCTAGCCAGGGGCCGGACGGGCAGGGAGCAACAGTAACGCACCTTGATGATCTTCTGCAGGTTCCGCCACGTCTCTTCCAAGGCCTCCATGGTAAACCAGGTGTAGGGGTTGGAGGCCACACGGAAGCTCTTGATCTGGCGGTCCAGCTCCGCCAGCTGGTTGAAGTCAGCCTGGGCAGAGCTAAGGGAGGAGCGGAAGGCATCGTGGGCCTCACGCAAAGCTCTGATCTCTTCCAGGGAGTTGCAGCGCACCGGGTCTGTCAGGTCCTCCTCTGCGTTCTCAAACCAGCTGTTGAAGGCAGAAGCCTTCTTGGCGAAGGTCAGGAAAAGGTCCTCCACCTGCAAGCAGAGGAGGCTGATTAGGAGAGCTGGAAGGGCTGGCGGTGCCATGCCTGGGCAGGAAGGCAGGCAGTAAGGGCCCAGCTCCAGCTTCTGTCTCCTGTCTGCATGTCTCCGTTTCTGCTTTTTTTTTTTTTGAGAGGTTTTCGCCATAGGGTGCATGCGTTTGCCAGAAAGACAGAGAAAGACAGAGAGATAGAAAGCGAGAAATCACCCCCTAGGGGGGGTGGCCACGCTGCAATCCCTTCTCCTCCATCCTCCTTTCGGGATCTTGGTGCTCACATGCACACACACCCGGCATGAGTTTAAGCCATCAGATCTGGGACTTGAATTGCAGTCCACTATGTGGGAGTCCAGCGACGCCAACTAGTGGTCCCTATCTTTTTTCTTTTTTTAAAAGAGAGATTTTTGCAGGGCCGGCAGGTGGCACTGTGGTTAAGGCAGCTGGACTCCCATGTGGCTGACTGCAGTTCGAGTCCTGGACTTGGCAGCTTGTTTTTTCACTTTTCTCCTCTCTGTTTTTCTCTAGTCAAATTCAAAAAAAAAAAAAAAAAAAAAAAAAAGATTTTTGGTATATGGTGTGTGCACTCGTCAGACAGAGAGAGAGACAGGAAGCAAGAAATCATCCCCCAGGGTGGATGGCCATGCCGTAATCCCTTCTCCTCCAGGCCACGCACACACACGCTCCCAGCATGAGTTTTAGGTCGCCAGGTCCAGGACTTGAACCACAGTCAACTACATGGGAATCCAGCCACATAACCGTTAGGCCATCTGCTAGTCCCTCCACTTCTGCTTCTCCAGCTACCCTCCACCCTGGTGCACATGAACTCAGGTCTGTCCTGTGGGCTTCTGAGAGCAGCTCTGGGAAGGCCAAAGCTGCAGCTCCCGAGGTCACCATGGGGCGTGGCACCTCCCCTGGCCCACCTCACCTTGCGGAAGTGACTCTGGGCCTCTAGCAGCTTCTTCTTCCGGGTGGCTGAGTTGGCGAGGAGCTGACTCCACCTCTTCATGAGGGCAGCGTGCCGGGCCTCGATGGCCTTGGACTGGACGTGCTTGGCGGCCAGCAGCTGGTCTTTGAGGGCAGTGATGTTGGCGATGCCTTCTTGCTGGAAGGCCTGCAGTCCGGCATCAAAGGTCTCCTGCAACCAGGAGCGATAAGCCATTGCAGGGACTGTGAGGCCAGAACTCACTCTTCTGGGGACACCAGCAGCTGCCAGCCCGGAGTCTCCACCTCGTGGTGACACTTAGCCACGCCTGCCCTCCCACGTTCCCACTCCCCCATCCACTTTCAGCTCACCCCTCTTGATTTCACATAGAGACCTGCGCCACTGACCCCCACCCATGGGGGTGTCCTCGATCTAAGTCCACAGTGCCCGCCCTGTTGGCACCCAGCAGACTGTACAGACATCTGGCTATAGGCTGGTGTCCCACTAGTCTGGAAGCTTCCTGTGGCTCAGGACTGGATCTTGTCCACTGCTGCATGCCCGGGGCCTCCCCAAAGCAGTCGATGTCTCAGCGAAGGGTGCCAACCATCAGCCCGCTGGCAGGAAGTGCTGTTTGTACACACGATCAAGTGCCCACGACTGACCTGTTTGGTGAGGAGAGTCTGGACAGAGGACAGATCTCGGCCATAATCATCTGTCTTCAAACTGTTCTCCTTCTCACCTAGGAACCAAGTGCAGGACAGAGTTCACCCCGTTCAGTGTCATGACGTGGAGTAATAGCCGGGCAAACCATTATCTGGCACACACTTAAGCTGCAATATTACAACAGCAGTCTCTGGAGGCCACAGTAGCTGTCTCCTCCTCCCTGCACACCAGGCTCTGCCTCATCTATGCCCCAGAGAGCTCTGCCAGTCAGTCCTATGTGTGCTTCAGTCACCAGTGTGTCACTGAGACTGCCCAGGACACCAGAATCCAGGAGCCGGCTGGCCCCTCGAGCAGGGTAGCCAGCAGGACGGGTGTGGCCCCCTCTGCCATGCCTGCGAGGTTCCTGCTGTGCCCTTGTTCTAGTACCCTGCACACCAGCCCAGCACCAGGCACCATGGCAGGCCCACTGTCATCACCTCTGCAGAGGAAAACCAACGGCGTGGGAAGCAGACACGCTGTGGCTCTGAACAGCTGTCCTGTCTGGGATCAGAAGCCAGGTCTAGCAGAGCCGCACTCACCGATCCAGGACTCCACCACGTCGGCCTTCCAGTTGAACTGCAGGAAGGCTGAGTTCTCGTCTAGCTTCGCCTTCCTCTGGGCGGCAGCTCTCTCCAGGTCCGCCACCTTCCCGTTCAGGCCCTTCATCTTGGAAGAGATGTTCTCCTCGTGGTGGTTGTTCTGGGATGTGAAGGGAAGCACACACAGGTCAGAGAAGACACCTTGGGATGGCTGCTCTTCACAGTGGAGCTCAGAAGGAGGAGCACGCCAACGTTTTAAGTTACAATGATGTACATCAGCCGTGATAGCAAAAAAACTAGAGTAGGCCTACATAACCTACCCCAGAGACTAGAATAAAACAATGGCTCCGGGGACCAGCAGTTAGAGTAATGGCTATGTCACTGGACTCCCATGTAGTTGACTGCGGTTCACGTCCCGGACCTGGTGGCCTAAAACTCACGCCGGGCACATGTGCGTGCATGCCCAAGATCTGAGAGGAGAGTGGAGAAGGGATTGCGGTGTGGCCATCCCTCTTGGGGGGGGGGATTTCTCACTTTCTGTCTCTCTGTCTCTGGCTGGCTGGTGAGCCTATGCACCCTATAGCAAAAATCTCTCAAAAACAAACAAACAAACAAACAAACAAAAACAAAAACAAAAAAGAAAAACAAAAAACAATGGCTCCGAAGAGTGTTGTGACACTACAGACGTGTTAGATGGTTAGGCCAAAACACATTAGTTAGGTCTTGGTGAAAACCACATTTGAGGAGCCAGTAGGTGGCGTGGTGGTTAAGGTGGCTGGACTCCTACGTGGCTGACTGTTATTCGGGTCCTGGACCTGGCGGCTTGAAAAATCACACCAGATGTATGTGTGTTATGCATAAAAACCCATGAGAGTGAAGAAAAAGGGACTGCAGCATGGTTATCCTCTAGAGGGTGATTTCTCAAGTCCCCTCTCACTGTCTCCCTCCAGTGAGTACACAATCCCTAAGGCAAAAATCCTTAAAAACAAAACCCTATTTGAGAACGCAAAAGGGGTCTTTAAAAAGCTCAGAGGGCAACTGGTGGTGCAGAAGTCAAGGCTGCTGGATCCCGCAGCGCAGACTGCCGCGTCTCAAACCCAGCGACTTGAGGAACATGCTGGGCATGTGTAGGTACATGGTCAAAATCCCAAGAGGAGGTGGAGGAGACTGGATTGTGGATTAGCCTCCCTCAATTGGGAGAGGAGGTGCTTTCTCACTTTCTGCTAAGCACACGCGCTCTCCAGAAAACTTAAACGAAGGCTTATACAGAGAAAGGAGCGCAAGAGCAGCATCTGGAGAGTGTCAATGCCTAGGACAACTAGGGACGCATCTTTGTTTACTTAATTAAGGCAGAAAAATGTGTGTGTGTGTGTGTGTATGTATTTTACTTTCTTTCCAAAACTGCTGGGGCGGAGATTTAAACCACGTCGGCCACATGGGATCCTACTCCCTAAGCACGGGGCTTAAACGCTGTACTCCAGGGTCAGCCCTAAGGCAGGAAAGACAAGCGCTGTGAGTCACTTTACCAACTAGCCTCAAAAAAGGGGACAATATCCATCTCACTGGTTCTCTGCTCTTCACAAAAAAAACCAGAAAGGAAGCCATTGTTGGTCTCCATGCAAACCTTGTTTCGGTGATCATTCAAGAGACAGGCTCTGCGGGGCGATGGTGACACCAGCACACGGTGTCCGCATGAGGACAAGGCCTTATCAGGGCCTAGTGGCCAGGCTCACCTTCTTGATGAGGTCCTGTCCGTTCGTGCAGACATCATTCACACGATCCTTGTGGACAGTGAAGTCGGTTTCGAAAGCTTCGTGTTTCTTCAGTAAGCCCTGCAGTGGGAGCGGGAAGGCCAGCTACTGAGACCCGGGCTGGTGCCATGGGTTAGGTCCCAGAGCCAGAGGTGACAAACTGACTCAACACACACATATCACTGGCAAGCTGGGGAACAGGAGAGTCAAGAGTCTCGCCAACAGACAATTATAAAAACAGGAGGCAGCATGGCCGACCAGCAGAGGGGTGGGCGGGAGAAGCCACAGTCAGAAGGCCCTCGATGGGGCTAAGCTGGTGCTGTGGACCACGTGGCATCCCTCTGAGGCAAGGCCTGAGCACACACAAGCTCAAGGCCAACACCCAACACAACGAAGACACTTTCTTCCAAGGTCTAACCTGAGCACCGCCTAAGGAACCTGTACGCCTTCCCTTTCCTGAGTACAATTTAGGCCCTGGGGATGACACCCTCATGCTGTTCCCAGGGGCCCGACTAGGTGCTGGGTGGGAAATCACAGGTTCTACACGCTCTACTGACATCCTGGTCGGCCCAGACACTCAGTGTGAGGAAGGTGGCTCAGAGGAACGCACGTCGCTTCCACATGTGGTGGCAGGCATTTAGGAACACGTGCCCACAAGTTTGTGGCAACTCCTATCCAGAGGGAGCCTCCTCATCCCTGTGACTGGGCTGCTTGGGATGTGCTCTGACCGCGGGTGCAGTGAGGATGATGCTGGGCGGTGCCTTCAGACACCGGGCAGCTTCTTCCTCTGCCTCTCTGAATGCTGCTGACAGGGATAGGCCTGGCCTGGCCCATCCGCTGCAGGAAGGAGGTGGAGTGAGCGGAATGGAGTGAGCGGAACTGAAGTGCTGGCTCCCTCTGCCTGAATGTAGTGGCAGGAGGGGTCTCATGGAGCAGCAGAGAAGAGGGTACCAACTCAAGGAGGCATGGGAGGCAGGAAATGGTGGTGGTTCTGAGCCACTGGCTTTAGGTCGGACGCCACACAGCCAGAGCAGACCAACGAGGGGAGTACGCTCTGCACCGAGCTGTGACCCCCTACAGCGCTGCTAAGTCCTGACTTCTGTGTCCTGTGACCACAGCTGTGGAACAGGAGCTATGGAGGGGTCACCTGGAAATTAAGGTGGTCATTATGGTGGGCCCTAATCCAACATGACCATGTCCTTAGAAGAGGGAAACCTGGATACAGTCGCACCCAGAGAGGAAGGCATGAAGACACAGACTCGGAGGGAAGGGCCACGTGAAAACAGGCAGAGGCAGGAAGGAAATGGCATAGCCCAGGACACCTGCGTCTACCAGAAGCAGGCAGAGGCCAGGAAGGAGTCTCCTCTATGGCTTCTGTGACTCGCAGCCTTTGGAACCGTCGATGATAAACTACTGCTGTTTTACGCCACTGAGCCTATGGAGACTTGCTAGCACGAATCAGGAAACTGGGACCCGGTACCAGTGACCGTGGTCCTACCACTGCTGACTGACAGGTCCACAGACGGCTGGCCGAGCCACGCCACTGCGTCTACAGAGGTGCAGTGTCCAGCTGTGAGACCTGGAGGGCTAACGCCCATACTGAGACCTTGGCACTGGCGCTGGGCCTAGTCCTGGTTAAAGCAGGGCCATTTGACAAATGACAGCTGCTGAGAGGGAAGGCAGGTGGAGCTTCCACCTCTCCTACCTGGATAGCAGCAAGAGTGTCTCCGTAGTCCTCGCTGGCCACCAGGGTCATTTTCTCATTGATCCAGGCTTCCTCCTCTTCCACGTTGGCTACAAACTGCTGGTATTCCAGGGACTCTTCTAGCCGCTGACCCCTGTCGGGAGTGGAAGAAAGTCAACCCTAATGTCCTCTAACTCAGATTCTGGCAGTTCACGTGAGCTTAAGCACAGCCACAGATGGCATAATGGTTCTGCTGCTGGACTCCCATGTAGTCAACGGCAGTTCGAATCCCAGACCTTGTGACCCTCACACCGGGCACGTGTGTGTACATGCCCAAGATCCCGAGATGAGAACAGAAGGGAAGGGAATGAGGCGTGGCCATCCCTCAAGGGGTGATTTTTTGCTGTCTGTCTCTCCAGCGGACACACATGCCCTATAGCAGGAATCTCTCTCAAAGAAGTAAGAGATAACCACAAAGCAGGGGGAGGCAGGTGAGCGGCTGAGCCAGGCCTCCTCTGTGACAGAGTGGCAAGGGTGCACCTCCTCCCGAGGCTCACGTCGCACACAGAATCCAGCTCCACGTGATGGCACCAGCCCAGTGTGGGCGCTCAAAGGTGGCTCTGGAGCAAACTGACCACGGCACTTGCAGGTCCAAGAAAATGCCCAACGCAGTCAAGCAGGCCACTGGCCTCACCTCTACCTGAGGGGAGGACGGCTGATCCCCTCCTACCCGGGCACTCACCGGGCGGCTGCCAGCTGCCTCAGCTCCTTCCAGTGCTCCACGAACTGGGCCAGGCGCTGCTGGATCTCCTCCTTCCCGATGGTGTTGTCATCACTAAGCCTCTTCCCAGTGTCCAGGACACCCTGACAGAAAACGATCAGATCAATAGCGGGTGGTCCTACGAGGCTGGCTTCGAGGTGTCTCTGTCTCAAGACTCCCAAGGAAAGGCCTCATCAGACTCAGAGCACCTTCCTAGTTTGGGTGGAAGGTCAGGAGCCTTTGTGGATGGACAAGCCAAGGGTGTCTGCATCGCTGCATGGGTGCCCGGCTGCACCTGGAGCCTCTGCCCTGGCAGCTGCAAGCCCTGCTCACCTGAATGGCTGGCTCGTGCGCAGCCAGCTCAGCCTCCAGCCGCTTGTGCTTCTTCCTCAGGTTCTGCACACCTGTTAGGTCTCGGCCGTAGTCCTCGGAGCTCACCAGCAGCTTCTTCTCCCTGCACGAGGAAGGCAGCACAGGCAGGCTCGGTACCTCCCTCTCCATCGAAGGTGTGGGTCAGAAAAGCTGTGATGTCACCGCCCGCACGACCTTGCCCACGTCCATGTCCACCTCTCTCCAGGAAAAGCCATGCCAGGTTTCTGGAAAATAGAAACCTTTTCCTCCCGAATGGGCATGGTCCCAGCATCTCCTCTGTCCCTGTCTGTATCTGAGGCATACCCTGCATGGGTCCCCACTCTGGGGGTTCAGGGAGGGCACTGGAGAGCAGGAACAACCGCTGGCACTGCTGTAGGACCCGCTGGAGCACATCTGTGCACAGACCATATGCCTGTCCACGCCCAGA